TCATACACACACACTCACACATATATATATATATATATATATATATATATATAGAGAGAGAGAGAGAGAGAGATAAATGTGAATTAGAATCAATGAAACCCAAACAAATTACCCCATACAGATGGTCATTTCGTTCCCTGGACTTGACAATGCAATTTTTTGGTTAACAAATGTATTTGCATTGACAAGTCCAGGGAATTTTTTTCCCCCAAGGACGAAATGGTCATCTGTATGGGGTAATTTGTTTGGGTTTCATTACTTGTAATTCACTTATATGCTCTATAATGAAAACTGTATTGAGCTCTCTTTTGTGGATCAGTTTTAATATTTTATATTAATAGGATCTACTTGGATTACTTACCCACTGATTATTTTACCTATATATATATATATATATATATATATATATATATATATATATATATATATAATCTTAGGTTTGGTCTACTTAGTGTATTGAGCACTTTACGTAGTTGTCTTTTTACTCGTTTTGTTTTGTTTTGTTTTTTTCTTTGGACTTGGAGCTTGAACACTGGTCGATTGTTTTCGCCTTGTTTTAATATTCTTGGTATTTTTTATTCCCCATTTTTCCTCGGGTACCGATTTATTCTACTGCAAGTCCAGCTATCCGGTCTTTTTACAAACGAGTACCATCATTTATATACATATATATATATATATATATATATATATATATATATATATATATATATATATACTCTTGTGCAAATTAATTGAAACAACCGGTTTAGTTTCCTTTCTTTCATCATACGGTCAGTTTTAGACCCACTGGAGTCACAGGGTGTAATCGATTTCTATTTTTTCCTCAGATTAGGTCATTTGCAGTGGTGTGCAGTAATATGAATCTATTTTTGAGGTGTATGATGAAGTTTGTTTGGCCTTGAAAAATATTGCATTATCCATGATTGCATCAGATTTTCATCACGCCCAAACATTGTTGTCTCGACTGACGATTAGTTACCCTACGGTCATTGTCTGAGATGGGCGTTGGACAAAGAAGCGTACGAAAACTAACGCTGAACGAACACACTGGCAAGACTTACCAGTGAGCAAATCAAAGTACTATAGATGGTCCGGAATCCCCCCTGATTTAAATCCAATCGAGAATCTGTGGCCATTCTGCAAGGAAAGACTTCATGGAACACTAGGTCATCTTTCATTGGAAAAATGCGAAAAAAAGTAAATAATAACCGAATTGTTTTTTTTCAATTAATTTGCACAAGGGTATATATATATATATATATATATATATATATATATATATATATATATATATATATATATATAGAGCAGTTATTGGTCAGAGGTGAATTAGACCAGGAAACAGTTGTATTAAAAAGTACTCAATACACGTATAAAGAAAATAAAATTTTAACATGCAGAGATTTTAAATTTAAAAAATTAGATCAGCCAATCACGCTACCTCGGTTTCAAACTTTTGGTACCCTCAAGCGAAAGGTTGAAACCAAGATAGCGTGATTGACGGATTTCTTAATTCTTAATATATATATATATATATATATATATATATATATATATATAATGGACTCTCCTGTTGGTTTCTACGTGTGAGGATCTGACAACTTAACCCATTGATTCACTTAGGAATTTTGTGTGATAATCTTAAGTAGCACTTAAGACCCGCTAGTCATTTACAAAGGAGGCCGCATATGGAGCAAAAGTAAGGATTGTGGGATGAGATCACTCTTAGATTGGCTGACCTTTTAGATCTTGCTCTCGCTTCTTGAATACGATTCCGACTAGCAGATTGAAAACTGCTGAGTCTATTAAAACACGTTGGGATCCATTCTACCCGCTCCAAGGCTAAGCGATCGAGAGTGTTAAGAAAGTATATTGACAGCTGACAAGTTGCTCTTCAGCTTGTCTTTTTGTCTTAGCCATGGGCGTACTGTATTTCTGTAGCCCTGATCTAACTGGATGTACATTAGGATCTTGGGTATCCTGTCATCAGACATTTTCAAGACATGACCAGTCCACCGTAACTGAGACTGTATGAGGAAAGTCTTGATTCCTTCAATATTACACCTGTTAAACAGGTCTACGTTAGATGTCCTATCTTGAAGGTTAACTCCACAGATTGCACGCAGACAGCTCTTATGGAAAACATCCAGCTGGCGTATATGGTACCTGTATGGAGTCTACAACTCTGGGCCGTACAAAAGGATGGCAAGGACAACAGCTCTGTAAACCCGAATTTTCGTATCCAGTCGAATACCCCGCTCATTCCACAAACGATGGCGAAGTTTGCCGAAAGCACTTAGGCTTAGCAATCCTATGCATGATTTCATCATCTAAAGTTCCACTGTAGTTGACTTTGCTACCAAGATAAGTAAAAGACTTTACATAGTTCAGGGCTTTGTTTTCTACTTTCAATGGTCTCTCTGGAAATTTGTAGACTGGTTGTTTTTGTTTCACACCACAGAATTGCTTCGGAGTAGGACAAGGTTGGTGCACTACTTCAGTTTTCTTTATGCTAAGTATAAGACCAAAGGCTTTACATGCAGCAGAGAAACGATTTATTAAATATTGGGCCTCCTCAAAGGATGTCGCAACAAGAGCAGCATCACCAGCAAACAACAAATCACAAATAATTTGCGTACGAAGGTGGGTCTTGGCTTTGTAGTGCTGATGATTGAAGAGTCCACCAGTTGTTCGAAACTGAAACTTGATGCCGCTCTCTGTGTCTGTGAATGTATATTTCAGCATCACTAAGAAGAAAGAGACAGGGACCATGACACACCCTTGCTTGGTGCCGTTTGTGACATCAAAGGATTCTGACATCATACCATCAGACACAATATTAGCTTTCATTCCTTCATGAAAGGAGATGATCACCTTTAGCATGCTTTCTGGGATGTCGAGTTTCCTCAAGACTTGCCAAAGAGCCTCTCAATTCACAGTGTCAAATGCCTTCGTCAAATCCAAAAACACCATGTACAACTCCTGGTTTTTCTCGCGAACCTTCTCTGCAACTTGATGAAGAGAAAATATCATGTCAATGGTGCCATGACCCGACTGAAAACCACACTGCGATTCAGGATAGATGGCGTCAACAAGGTGTATAATGATTCTGTTTAGAATCACTTTAGCTAGGATGTTGCTTGCAATTGAAAACCCGATGATTATCACAGACTCACCTGAAGCCCTTCTTTTTGTAGAGGTGTTTGGTAGAGGCGTCTTTATAATTCTGTGGGACACAGCCTGCCTTCCATATCTCCACAAAAATGAGATGCAACTTTTCTGCCAACTTTTGACCAACATGCTTATACACTTTGGGTGGAATAGGATCCTTAGGAGTAGGTGATTTTCCAGATGAGATTTGCTTGATGGAGTCACTTACCTCTTGATAGGTAGGTTCAGAAGACAACTATATACACACACACACAGACACACACACAGACACACACACACAGACACACACACACACAGACACACACACACACATATATATATATATATATATATATATATATATATATATATATATATATATATATATATATATATACATTATTCGATTATTTGGACTATTGTCTTCATCTTCGTCGCCATATCTATTACAACGTTTCGGTCGTTGTACATATAGACAGATATATATATATATATATATATATATATATATATATATAGACAGATATATATATATATATATGTGTGTGTGTGTGTGTGTGTGTGTGTGTGTGTGTGATGAGGGAGAGAGTAAATTGGGCGATAATCCGTCAAAATAATAAATACATAGAGTGTTTGAATTGTTTTTACGGCTTGTCAACTTTTTACATGTTATTTAACGACAGAAAATATTTTTGCGTTGTAATAATTTTGGAGAGATGGTAATGGATTACTGATACAAGTCCTACTAATTAACTTATAGCTGGGGGGAGAAGAGGTGGATTCATATGTTTCCTAAGGGTATTTGCGCGTAAATGAATATAACGAAGCTTGCTAGGATTGGAACTCGGCTCTCTGATTTCCAATTCCGAGCCATCATACATTACACCACCCGCATATCCAAGCTTATATCCCCATTATTCTCAAGTGGTCAGCCATCTAAGTACTCACCAAGCACAACATTGCTTAACTTCGCTGATATGACCATATCAGAAAAAAAAACAATTTTAAGAAAAATTATTTTTCTAATAACATCAGTTCATCATTTCCAATTTTATTATGTACATATAAAACCTGGCGCAATACAATCTTCCTAAACTAATTTCTCTCAATATAGTCACATGTTGTATTAAACTAAGTCAGGATACCTCGGTCTGGCTAAAGATACTAGAAAATTGTCACTACTCTGTTGTGAGTTCCGTTCTCATTGACTGTCGCACACTAGTAACCAGGCCCTTCAATATGGGGCGGGAGTTCTTCAACGTTTATTGCGTGCCGCCTCTTTTTTTTAAACGGCATTGATAAATAGAGAAGAGTTAAAGCAGCTACTGAGTTACTGTCACGTGTGTTATGTTTTGTTGCATTATTGCAATACCAATCACCGTAAGTTAAAATGTGGTGGGAACAGCCAATTGGTGGTCACGTGGTAAGAGCGCAAAAGCTTTGGTTTGCAGTTATTTTTACACTGCATACACATTGAAATTGCATCTAAACATTTAAAATAAATCTAAAAAAAAAACAAAAAAAAACGAAAATATACAGGCAAAAAGCAAAAAGAAAAAAAAACAAATGCGTAGTATATAAAATGAATATATTATTTTAACAACGAACCTTCAATCTTACTGCTCGTTTCAGAGTTCACAGCGCCCCACCTCAAAGAGGCGTTATCGCCCACATTGAATGTGTGTGTGTGTGTGTGTGTGTATATGCGTGTGTGTGTGATTGAGAGAGAGAGAGAGAGAGGGAGGGGGTAAAATTGGGCGATAATCCGTCAAAATAATAAATATAGATTGTTGGTTAATGGTTAGTGAGGCAAGTCAGGTTGTCCATTACTCCTAGGAAGTTCAGGCTTACGGCCACATCACGATAAAATACCGGTTCCCGTACGATCACTGAAGTTAAGCAATGTTGAGCGTGGTCAGTACTTAGATGGGTGACCGCTTGAGAATACCAGGTGCTGTAAGCTTGAATGTTTCGGGTGGTGTAATGGATAATAACTAAGAACTGTTAATCGGTGAGCCGAGTTCCAATTCCAGTTGGGTTCGTTATATTCACCTAGGCAGAAATACTCTTGGGAAATATATTAATCCACCGCTCCTCCCACCAGCTATGGGTTAATTATGTATCACTAAAACATTATTATCTCAACAAAAAAAATTCTTACAATCTAAAAATATTTACTGGCTTTAAATAACATGCAAAAGGTTGATAAACCGTAAAAAACTAATCAATAATTCATATATACTTTAATTGTTAAATAAAGAAACGTTGTAAGAAGAAAATAAATCAGTTAATGTTTTTCTTTGCATGAATAACACTTAGTTCCACGGAAAGTGATCGGCGGAAGTACATTCCCTGTTCCCGCCAATTCAAACCTCCACGGCAAGGACACGCCATGCCACTAACATAGTATCAAACCACCCACATTACCCCCGTATTCCATCGGTGAGAAGTAAGTTCCACTCTAATATCTTCTCGCAAACTACTGCTCTGTAGAACCGACTCCCAAGGGGATGTTTCCCCAATCACTACAATGTTCAAGGCTAGGGTTAACCATTATCTTAGACTCCTATCCATACAAATTGCGGAGGTGAATTCTTGATGTCACCGGCCTGGGGAGGTGATCCCAGCGTATGGTTCAATTGGAAAGTGCCTGTAAACTATACAAAAGGTTGACCCAAGGTTTGTGAATGAAATCGGGTAGACTGTTCGAGAACCGTCGATGTTTGTGCTATCACGAAATCACAAGGACTGGCAAGTCCGATTCTCATTGGATGCTCCTCACCAAATTCGACATGATGCGTTCGACTGAGGAGGGGCGCATTCAACATTTGATAATTTGGCGGCAATACGCGCTTAAAGATTTAAGGCAGTTTTGATCAACATTTCTTTTCATTGTTAGCCGTAAGGAATTGTAAAAGTAGGACTGCCTTACACTAAATAAAGTAAAATAATAATAATAATAATATTTATTAAAAATTTATCACAGGAAATATCAAGTTTTACGGAAACATTGTTGACAATTATGTATTTAGTTACATAACAAATAAATAAAAATAATATAAATTTTGATGCTATATTTGATTATTTGTCCCTTGTTATTAGCAGCATTTTAGAAAGCTTTGGTTGCAATTCTAAGTTTCTTAAGTTAAACAAACTGGAGCTATTACTTTTACACTTTGTTACCACTCTTTTCCATTGTTGTTTTTAGATCGCTTTCTTCCAGCCATTTTGATAGGCAATGGCGAAATTCTGAAATTTAGAATTACCTTATACAAGTTCAAAAACGACCAAAATAAAATACTTTATGTTACTTCATCTCATTTCATGGTTACAAACTATAAACCTAAATTGAGCTTGAAATATTGTTTAATCGGTTCGATTTTTTTTTGTGTGTAAAATACTTAGATATGATATAATGAATAATTTGCAGTGAAAAAAAAAAGCAATTTTCAATTTTTTGTTGAATACAACTTTCCTCCGCCGAACGTGTCAAATAACCTATTAAGGATTGACATGTAACAAATATCAACCAACGAAACCAAGAGTTATGGTTAACGAGCTACTCTATTTCTAATGAGACACAAAGACGTGGGTGGTGGTCAATGAGGCTAATCTGGTCCACCCTTACTATTGAGTAGTGAGTTCGATACTCACTGGGAGTGAGTTCGATACTCACTGGGTGCTCCATACAAAATTCAACATTAAATAACCCAACCAGGAGGGTTGACGTCGTAAAAATCAACCAACCAAAACAAGGATGATGGTCAACGAGGTTTGTCTGGTTGACCATTAGTACTGAGTAGTGAACTCACTCCTCACCGGGTGTCCCATTCAAAATTCGACATTAAATAACCTAACAAAGTTTGACATCTCGTGAAAGCAACAAGATCTCTAATCCAATATTAAATTACCTTGTGTCAGACTTAGCGCAGCTAAAATACTTTTTTAAGAGCGCCTCCTCATGGGATAATGGTTAATGAACGAGTCTAGCAGATTATTACAAGTGTAGTGCATCCAATTTTCATTGAATTACCCCCTCCAGCATTTAAGCAAAATTTGATAACTACTTACAAACACGTAGATATATTCATATCTATTTAAGACCCATTAAAACGCAAAAATATCGGTTCAGACACACGTGCACAAACGAGCGTAGAGAGACGAATACACACGTCCGTGTCGGCCGGTGCCCGCATTTCCCGGCAACCAACTGTGGTTTGTTAGTAAGGGAGTTCCTGACGCGCACACAGACACAGCGAAGCGCTATAGCTGCACTTTCCGCTGACGCACCAAGGTGAAACGCACACACAAACACAATGCACAACAGGTTCTTAACGTAATTCACCGAAACACTTTCTCGCAGATAACTGACGCGCGCCCGTTCAGCATCGAACTCAGCACTTTTTTTTTTCTTTCTGTAATTATTTTTTTTTTTTACGATAAAACACGTCCTACAGATTGATGTCTCGTGGGGGGGGGATCTATTTCAATTGTCCGACCGTCTTAAATGACCACTTCTACAAAAAAAATAAATAAATAAAAGAAAGAAAGAAAGAAAGAAAGAAAGAAAGAAAGAAAGAAAGTTACTACCCCCTCGAGGCACCGAGAATGACCCCGGTAATGGATAGCGGCTCGGATTGAGAAATCGGTAGAGCCGAGTTCGAATTCCAGTCAAATCCATTGCATTCACTTACGTGCTAATACACTTGGGAAATTCTCTTCTTCTAAAGCTATGGGTAAATAGCAGGACAGACCGGGTTCTATAGCCTTGGATAGCAACTGGTCTACCCCAGAAAGAAATGGCAACCTACTGTGGGGGGGGGGGGAATCTGCCTCGTCAGTCATGTATCGAAAGATGTTCGCCTAAGCGTGTATTATGCATGGCACATAACTGAGTTCTAACCAGGAACACGTGATCGGCTTTTAACGCTAAATTTTCTTCGGATAAAAATCCTTATGGCTTTTCAAATCAGTGGCGTATTGAGTTACTTATTGAGTGGCTGAATGAAATCAGCAATCGGAGATCGAATTTTGGCCGTGGCTGATTACGTTTACTTCGTACTACTTTGTAAAGTCATGAATCGACTTCTCCCTCCAGCTACGAATAAATGTCATAAGGCTGCCACTTTATCCTTTTGTTCAGTGGAAGAAACGGACAAACGACACAAAGGTAAATAAAACACGAGTATTAATTAACGGTAAATATCTCCCTAAAAGAATACCATTAAAAATGGCAGGATTGTATTATTTATGATTAAATTGATTAAAGCGTTCGTTTATACATATTTGATTCCCTGTCAGTTATGAGATTCAATCTCTGAGTAGGGTAGACATACTATGTCTGGTTCAGTGGAAGAAACCAAAAAACGACATCAAGTTGAATAAGACGTGAGTGTTAACTAACGGTAAATATCTCCCAAAGGAATAGTACCCTTAATAGTAACAGGATTATATTATTTATGTTTAAGTTGATTAAATTGTTCGTTCAAACATATCTGGTTCTTTGTGAGATCAATCCCGGGGTCAAATAGTTCAGTGGAAGAAACGGACAAACGACACAAAGATAAATAAAATGCGAATTAACCCTCGGGAAATATCCCCCAAAAATAACACTCTTAAAAAAATTACAGGATTATATTATTTATGTTTAAGTTGATTAAAGCTTTGGTTCAGACATATCTGGTTCCCGGTCAGTTGTGAAATCAATCACTGAGTCGGACATTCACATAAACTGGTTAAGTGGAAGAAACAGACAAACGACACAAAGATGAATAAAGCTGGCGATTATTAACTGATATGAGTTATCTCCTCTAAGCAGAGAAAGTGAAATGAGAAAATCTACTCCCAAACGAAATAAGGGGTTTAGTTCGAAATTCTGAGGTTAACGTGTACGACAATAGAAACTCAAACAAGGCCGAATAAAATTTGTGTGCCTATGATGAGCATGATGAACCGAAGAGTAAACGATATAATAATAATTTATAGTTTCCATCATAAAAATTACCTTTTCAAAAAGTTGTAAATACTATCTTAGTATTATTATCATTTCTCTCTCAATAATGTACGTTTGATTTTAAAGTAGATCCTTGTTTTAGAAAAAAAACAATAAGCCATTTACGAGAGCACATTAATAAGAACGCAGATTGCTATAATCATTTCACCCCAAGCAAGACAATAAATCCACTAAGGCACAAGGACTTACTGAATGTTGAAGAGTAAGAAAAAACAAACCTTATTAAGGAGCGATGACAATGAAAGAAGAGAAATCAGGAAGACAGTAGATAACGATTGACATTTATTTGAATTTTGATGGGTGAAAAGTAAGAAGCCGGAAGAGTTCCACAGGCAAGAAGTGCGTGAAAAGAAACTGTTAGCAAAGAACTTAAGGTTACATCAAACCAATTCAACTGTATTTGAGAAAGAAAGGTTAAGGTGAGTAGGTTATTTTTTTTCCTGGTTTTCTCGTATTTCTTTTCATTGGATCCGTCATGAAAGTGTTTTGTTTTAAGAAGGAACAAAAAAAAAAAGAAAAAAGAAAAAGAAAAGGAAAAAGCTTAAATAATTATCACTGTCGTCGATATCAATAAAAACTTTTCAATCTGCGTAACCTTCAGGAAATTTCGAAATTACCCCTTTTAACAAGGGAGTTTTTTGTTTTTTTTTTCTCCTTCTGCTATCTCTTATTTAGCACTGTTTAGATTTTACACGCCCCGTGGCTACAGAATTTAAGTCTGCACTGCCCGGCCAGGAATTCATCTCCCAATTATTATACCACTAAATTCACGAAAGAAATCCAACGCTTTAATGTTATTTCCATACACGTTTTTAACAAGAACAAATAGCTTCGAGTCGGTTAACAAGAACATTTTTATCGCTTCGTGTCTTTTCTTCATCCACTGCCAAATGGAAAATAAGATATTGCACAAAAAGTTACTTTTGACGCCTCCAAAACGAAACAGAT